AGAGATTTACCTATATAGTAAAATCCGACTATGAACACTATTAACAATTAGTTACTTACTGAAAAAACCACCTTAAAGTTAAGGGAAAAAAAGTCCGCAAACTGTAAACTCTGAAGGACTCGCTAGGGCTTTCAAGAAAAGTAATTCTTTCTGAAATGGAACAAAAAAATCAAACACGTTTTCAACACACCTCAAAAATGACTACATATTATTTTGATGATTATGGAAAAATGATTACATTTTTTTTGAAGTGCCCGGGAAAAGTTCAATTATTTCATTTGAAAAATTCAGCTTTTAAAAAGTTGCCAAAAAATCGAGCAAAATAAACTTCGACCTGCTGATTCTAAAAATAGCACGTTTATGTTCAGGGACAAATTTAAGAAGTTTTCAATTTGAAATTGATTTTTTTTAGTCCTAACTGTCATAATTCATTGGGCGATTTTTGAAACATCCAAGGAGATTTCTGAGAAATTAGCCCGAAAGTTACTTTTGGAGATCAAAATCTACAAAAATCCCAAAGAATTGAAAAATTGAGCTTTTGAAAACGTGGCCTAAATGTCGCATGTTTAGGTTCCCAAAGATTTTAAAAATTTTCGATTTGGAAGTCATTCTTTTCAAAAATCCTGAAAATTACCTCGAAACATCGTGAGTTTTCTGAGAAATAAAGCACGAAGTAACCTCTGGAAGTCGAAATCTATAAAAAAAATTTGTCAAGGCAATTTAGGAGATGGTCGAAAAAAGGTCGATATTTTCTGATTTTTTAAAAATTGTGCTTTTAAAAAAATCTTCTTTAAATCCACGAAAAAATTCTGGAATACAGACCTCGATGTACTGATTCGAAAAATATAGCACGTTTATATTCAGAGACAAAATTTCAGAAATTTTCAATTTGAAAGTGATTTTTTTTAGTCCTAATTGTCATAACTCATTGGGCGATTTTTGAAACATCCAAGGAGTTTTCTTAGAAATGAGCCCGAAAGTTACTTTTGGAGATCAAAATCTACAAAAATCTTTAGTAAGTAATTTTCGAAGATGGTCAAAGAAGGGTGGAAATTTTCCAAAGAATTGAAAAATTGAGCTTTTGAGAACGTGGCCTAAATGTCGCGATTTTAAAAATTACCTGGAAACATCGTATGTTTTCTGAGAAATAAGACCGGAAGTAACATCGGGAAATCGAAATCTATGAAAAAAAATGTATCAAGGTAATTTTAGGAGATTGTCGAGAAAAGGGATACAGACCTCGATGTACCGATTTGAAAAATATACCATGTTTATGTTCTTGTAGCATAATTTTAGAAATTTTTGGTTTGAAAGACAATTTTTTTAAAAAATCACAAAAACTGTCATAATTCACTGAACTATTCTGGAAACATAGTAGGGGTTTCCGAAAAATGAGATTCAAATCTACAAAAAAAGTTGGAAATTTTCAAAACTGTCGCTTAGAATCGACAAAAAAACTCTGGGCTGTAGAGCTCGACATGCTAGTTTGAAACACAGCTTCGATTCTGGAAAAATCGAATTTTTCGAAGAAATGAAGCCGAAAAATGTATGAAGTGGGATATAACTGAAACAATAATACTCACCTGTTTATACTTATGTTTTGTTACAACATTTGTTCGTTTTTCAATATTAGCAACAATTACATCGACCGTCATTTTATTCTGTTTGCAAAAACCAAAAATACTTTAATTATTATGTATACCAAAAAACATGAAATTTACCTGTTTCGAAATTTCATCAAGAAAATACACGAGACACATATTCGAGATTATAACAGACGGAATTCCTAAAACACCACCAGTCAAATTTGTCACATCCCGAAAAGAAAAACCATCATTCGCCATGGTTTCAAAAAGCCCGTAATAAAGGTTACTACTACTGCAAATAAAGTCAGGCACAAGTTTCAAAAACACCATTCCCTGCATGGCTTTGTGGAAAGTTCTGGAAGAGTCCTGAAGCAACAAATAAATTTTTTTCATCTCTCCAAGTCTGTTTTGGTCCATTTTAGTCATTTCCGCTATTAATAAAATGTATAAGCTGTTGATTAAAATTAAAAAAAGGACTGCTAGTAATTCGAAATTTAAAGCAGTAAACCAACCGCTATAAAAATAAAACCCTACAATGAGACCAATTTTATCACCATCGTAGAAATATACAACGTTAAATAAGCACACCACCGATATTAACAAATATTTAGGGGTCACTAATTTCAAATAATACCTAAATATGTCTGCGTATTTAAGTCGGGCCTGCGCACTGTCTAACAAGAGCTTTTCAATTTTCAGAATTTTCGACAATACGAGAAGTATTTGCAGACGTTTTTTGTATGAAATTATTATCATTCCTAAATTTTGAACAGTAATACAAGTCACTTGAATTAACTTTACGTAACTTTTCAATGTATAAGTAACACCATTAAAATATATGTAAAGTACGAAATTCGATAAAATGTATATAATCATAACGAACGATATTTTGAAATTGCCAATAACAAAATTCCGATGTTCAGAATTGGTAACATAGTTCAAACTGTAAACAGGGAAACCAGAAAGTTGCCAAATTTTTAACACTGGTTGTACGAGTGAAAAGATATCTTTCGGATTCCACGTCATTTTGAAACGATGTAAACTAGAAATAACATAAATAGTGTAATCAATTAAAAGTTGTGTTTGCAGGTGGAAATTAAATGTCACCAATAATATTGTTCTCATGTGTATAAACAATTTATGAAATGATGTTGAATGCGAAAGTGAGTCCTTACCATGAAAAGGATAAACATACACTTCGTAGCACTTTACCTGCAGGAACAGTCTGATCACGTTGACCAAATGACACCGAAAATTTGTTTTCAACACCAAATTTAATCTGTAATGGGAGGATGAGAGGATGAAAGAATGAAAGGATAAAAAGAACACAATGGAAAATGACAAAAATGACGAAAAGAACGAAAAGGACGAAAAGGACGAAAAGGACGAAAATGACGAAAATGACGAAAAGGACGAAAAGGAAGAAAAGGACGAAAACGAAAAAAAGGACGAAACGGACGAAAAGGACCGAAAGGACGGAAAGGACGGAAAGGACGGAAAGGACGGAAAGGACGGAAAGGACGGAAAGGACAGAAAGGACGGAAAGGACGGAAAGGACGAAAAGGGCGAAAAGGGCGAAAAGGATGAAAAAAATAAAAAGATAAGAAAGATGAAAAGGATGAAAGGATGAAAAGATGAAAGGATGAAAGGATGAGAGGATGAGAGGATGAAAGGATGAGAGGATGAGAGAATGAGAGGATGAGAGGATGAGAGGATGAAAGCACAGAAAGGACAGGAAGGATAGGAAGGAGAGAAAGGTTGGAAAGGAGAGACAAGACAGACAGGATAGAAAAGATAAAGAGAATAAAAACGACGAAAAAGACGAGAAGGACGAGAAAGACGAGAAGGACGGCAAGGACCAGAAGGACCAGAAAGACTCTAAGGACGAGAAGAACGAGGACGAGAAGGACGAAAAGGACGAAAAGGATTAAAATAATAATTAAAAGGACCAAAGGACCAAAATGACAAATAGGACCAAAATGACAAAAAGGACCAAAATGAGAAAAAGGACCAAAATGACAAAAAGGACCAAAATGAATAAAAGGACCAAAATGACTAAAAGGACCAAAATGACTAAAAGGACCAAAATACTAAAATGATTAAAATGACTAAAATGATTAAAATGATTAAAATGACAAAAACGATTAAAATGACTAAAATGATTAAAATGATTAAAATGATTAAAATGATTAAAATGATTAAAATGATTAAAATGATTAAAATGATTAAAATGATTAAAATGATTAAAATGATTAAAATGATTAAAATGATTAAAATGATTAAAATGATTAAAATAATTAAAAGGATTAAAAGGATATAAAGGATATGTTGATTTGTGCGAATAATTATGAATTAGAACAGCGGACAGTCGTTTTACGAATTTTTGATGAGAGGTTGAGAGGATTAGAAGATGAGAGGATGAACGGATGTAAGGATAGAAAGCAGAGTAAGTCTAAAAATTATACAAAGGATAAAAGAATAAAAAGGATAATAAGGATGAAAGTATGAAAAAGATGAAAAGGATGAAAATAATGAAAAGGATGATAAGAATGAAAAAAAGGAAAAGATAAAGAAGATGAAAAGGATGAAAGAATGAAAGGATGAAAGGATGAAAGGATGAAAGGATAAGAGGATGAAAGGATGAAAGGATGAGAGTATGAGAGGATGTGAGGATGAAAAATAAAAAGAACAAAAAGGACGAGAAGGACGAAAAGGACGAAAATGACGAAAATGACGGAAATGACGAAAAGGACGAAAAGGAGGAGAAGGACGAAAAGGACTAGAAGGAGGAAAAGGACGAAAAGGACAAAAAGGATGAAAAGGATTAAAAGGATTAAAATAATTAAAAGGATTAAATCCTCTGCTAAATTAATCGACGATTATTCGTTTTCTATAAACCGGCTCTTAGTTTCCTTTGTATAACACGATTACTTACGAACATACATATTTCACATGGTAATTTCTCGTAGAAAAATAAGGATTTTACAATTAAGCTCAGCCACTTGGTTTACGATGAATAAAAGAATCATCAAAATTGAGATAGGGCGGGTGGGCGGGGTTTATATTTTGCCTTTTTTTCTTAATATACATAGCCATATTTTCACAACAAGAAACTTAAAACACAGTTAAAAGGGTACATGTTTGCAAGGAAATATGGATTTTGCAACTATGGGAGGGAGCCTAATGGTAATAAACATCGTTTTCTGTTATTTTCTGACATTTTTGTAGAAAAAAACATCAACTCGAAGCCAGGAATTCATTTTCGTATCGTAAAGTTATGGTTCGTAAATGAAACTCACTAAAAAAATTCTCGATTTAATGACTTTTCTGTCACTCAGTCTCTCACCATACGTAGTATACATAAGATATTAGTATAATTTTATCATAGAAAAAACAAAAAAACGTTTCCCTCCTCCAGCGAGTTCTGTTAATGTTTGAAACTTGAAAAAGGTAATAGGTAATTCCGTTAACTAATTAAGACGAGATAATTATTTCCTGTACTTAACTGCATAAGAAATAACGCGTACATCAGTCCACTGGCTGAGATCTAAAAAAGTTAAATGTAAAAACCATTTAAAATAATATTTTGATATGTCAAAGTACCACAAGAAACAAATTAAAACTTAACTGTAACGAAAATAGACCATTCCAGGGGAAACATTCCGAACAGTGTAAATGTAGTATTAGTGAAATAAAGTTGATGAGCAAATAAGTTTATCTGAAACAGAACTCCCTACATTTGAAACTTTTAGTGGTACTTGGACCTTACCAAGTGCTCGGGAACTCTTTCAAACGAGTAAACGATCTCTAAAGTCTGTTGGGCCTAAAATATTAAACAATTTCCCATGAAATGAGTATTTATCTACTAACCTCTTTTGACACCAAGCTAATTCCTAGTATGATAATAAATATCTGATAACAAAATCCAGTAACACATGATACAAAACTGAGACATTGTTGGAAAACGATCTGAAAATATCTCGTCGTCTGCAGTTAAATAAAATAAAAGAGCAACCAGAATACAAAAAAAGCGAAAAAACTTTAAAGCGATTGGTACTTGAAAAGCACTGTTTATCAATTTTCTGATATGGCACAAATCGCGATGGAGTTCGCTGCATTTTTCAATCTCTTTGTAATTGTTGATAGTGCGATTTTGATCATGCAATGATTTGCTTAATGCAGCCTTCAAGCATTTATTTAGTAACTTGAACCGTTTATGTAGTGCTAGTACTAAAATTACTATCAATAATTCCACAACTAGTGCAACAGCTGTAGTCAAATAGTATAGCACCAAACAAAAAAAACTACTAATTTTTAAGTTGTGGTAATACATTAAATGTAAGTACAGCTGTGCACAAACAAATACCACATTTGCGAAATACACACTCTTTTCTAAGATAGTACTTCGACAATTGATTTCGGTACTTTTTGAACCCATGCTGCTATCGAAACGTCTTATTTTCAAAATTATCATTTTGTGTTCATTTTCGTAGAAAAATGGTAAACTGTAACTGATTAGGCATGTCAATGAACAATATAAGTTAGTCAAAGTGTTGGAAATGTTCGTTGACAAGAATTTCAAGGCAACACGGCATTTAGAATGTGTGAGAATGAGAACACACAGTGCTGCCACTACAGAAAAGTTAACGATTTTTTTCAAAGTGGCCACCACCTTGTTATATTTTTTATGAGGAACTATGTTAAATGAAAATGACACTAATCCCAGTGTTTTTGCCAACAAGAAAATTAGTTTGAGTGGTTGAAGTCGAAAATAGTTAAACATTTTGTTTACTTGGCTAAATGAAAAACAAAACTGTGTGGTGATAAATAATGGGAATGGAGAAATAATGAAAACGATTTATAAATAATATATTAAATTTTGTGTCATATTATCGTTTTATCGTTAATGATTGTACTTCTTTTTGACAGTACGTTTATTACAAAGTCATGCTTTATTGATTATTATAAGTTTGTTATTCACTTTGTTGACGTTCTATACAAAAGTGAGTACAGATTAAATTTGTTGTTGAAAACAAATTTTCGGTGTCATTTGGCCAACGTGATCAGACTGTTCCTATAAGTAAAGTGCTACGAAGTGTATGTTTATCCTCTTCATGATAAGAACCCACTTTTGCATTAAATCTTACATTACATTTAATATAATTACTTAATTTGTTTACACCCACAAGAACAATATTCGTGACATTTAATTTCGAGCTGTAAACAAAGCTTCTAATTGTTTACACTACTTAAGTTACTTCTAATCTACACAGTTTCAAAATGATGTGGAACCCGAAAGATATCTTGTCACTCGTACAACCAGTGTTCAAAATTTGGGAACTTTCTGGTTTCCCTGTTTACAGTTTGAATTATTGTGTTACCAATTCTAAGCATCGGAATTTTGTTATTAGCAACTTTAAAATATCATTCGTTATGATTATATACATTGTATCGAATTTCGTACTTTACTTGTATTTTTATGGTGTTACTCACACACTGCAAAGTTACGTAAAATTAATTCAAATGACTAGTATCACTGTTCAAAATTTAGGAATCATAATAACTTCATACAAAAAGCGTCTGCAAATACATCTCCTATTGTCGAAAATTCTAAAAATTGAAAAGCTCTTCTTAGACAGTGCGCAGGCCCGACTTAAATACGCAGACATATTTAAGTATTATATGAAAATAGTGACTCCTAAATATTTGATAATAACTCTGGTGTGCTTATTTAATGTCGTATATTTCTACAATGGTGATAAAATGGCTCTCATGTTAGAAATTTATTTCTACAGCGGTTGGATTACTGACTTAAATTTCGAATTACTAGCAGTTCTTTTTTTAATTTTAATTAACAACTTATACATTTTGTTAATCGCGGAAATGACTAAAATGGACCAAAATAGACTTGAAGAGATGAAAAAAATTTATTTGTTGCTTCAAGACTCTTCCAGAACTTTCCACAAAGCAATGCAAGGAATGGTATTTTTGAAACTTGTGCCTGATTTTGTTTGCAGTATTAGTAGTAGTTATTACGGGCTTTTTGAAACCATGACAAATGATGGTTTTTCTGTTCGAGGTGTGACGAATTTGGCTACTAGTGCTCTAGCAATTCCGTTTGTTATTACCTCGAATATGTGTCTCGTGTATTTTTCTGAAGAAATTTCGAAACAGGTAAATTTTATATTTTTTGCTAGAGATAAATAATTGAGGTATTTTTGGTTTTTGCAAACAGAATCAAATAACGATCGATGTAATTGTTACTGATGCTGAAAAACGAACAAATGTTGTAACAAAACATCAATATAAGCAGGTAAGTTAATATTTTACTTGGTCCCTTTATTTCTTCAAACTTCTACGATTTATCCAGAATTGAAAAAAAATCACGCTGTATTTTCGATGTAGCGTGTGTTTTGGACAACTTTTTCAAAAGCTCAATTTTGAAAAATTCCAGCTTTTCGATCAGAGAGATTTTTTTTGTAAATTTGTATCTTCAGAAGTTATTTTTGGTTTCAATTTTCACAAATTTAAATTTTCCAATCAAAATTTTTTAAAATCTTATTCCGGGAACCTAAGCATGCTCCATTTTTCGAATTAGCACGTCGATATTTTTATTCGAAAATTTTCGTTGATTTTTAGGATACGTTTACAAAACCTCAATTTTTGAAAATTTCGATATTTATGATCGTCTTCGAAAATTTTTTAGAGGTTTTTTTGTGGATTTAGATATCCAAAAGTTACTTTTGACCTCATTTTTTGGAAAACTACTATGATGTTTCCAGAATCCCCAAGGAATTATGGCGGTCTTTAAATTTTTGAAAAAAAAAAGACTTTCGAACCAAATTTCTAAACTCTTGCTTTAGGAACAGAAACATGCTATATTTTTCGAATCAGTACCTCGAGATCTATATCCCAGAATTTCTTTGTGGATTTTTAGATGATTTTTTAAAAGCTCAATTTTTCAAAAATCAGAAAAATGTTTACCTTTATTCGACCGTCTTCTAAAATGATCAGATTTTTTTGTAGATTTCGATTTCCAGAAGTTCCTTTAGGCCTTATTTCTTAATATAGAATCGCTCAATAAATTATGGCATTTTTAACTTTTTTTCAAAAAGTTGACTTTAAAAGCAAAAATTAAAAAAAGAAGAGTTTTTCGGAAATTAGTTTCTTCTTTCTAAACTTCGATTTTCAGAAGTTACTTCCAGCCTCATTTCCCAGAAAACTGCTAGGATGCGTCCAGAATCGCCCACTGAATTATGGAAATTTTCAGTATTTTTGAAAAAAAAAAAGATTTTCAAACCGAAAATTTGTAAAATATTTTCACCGAGAACCTAAACATCTTAATATTTTTCGAAACAGCACGTCGAGACATATTTCTCAGGATTTTGTCGTGAATTTTTTCAAAAGCATAAATTTCTTCCCTTTTGGAAAATATCTAGTTTTTTTGAAAATTGCTTAAACAACTATTTTTGTAAATTTTGATCTGCAAAAGGTACTTTCGGCCTCATTTCTTCGAAAACTTCTACGATGTTTCCAGAATCGTCAAATGAATTATGACAATGTTTAAAATTAAAAAAAAAAAATATTTCAAACCAAAAATTTCTAAAATGTTGCTGTAAGAACATAAACATGCTATAGTTTTCAAATCAGTACGTCGAAATCTATATCCCAGAATTTTTTGTATATTTTTGGACGATTTTTTCGAAAGATCAATTTTTCAAAAAATTAGGAAAATTTCGACATTTTTTCGAGAACTCCTAAAATTACCTAGACAGATTTTTTTTGCAGATTTCGATTTTCAGAAGTTACTTCCGGACTCCTAAGATATTTCAAAAATCGCCCAATGAATTATGGCAGTTTTTAGGATTTTTTCGAATCACTAAATCGAAATGTTTTTTGTCGATTTTTTGGCAACTTTTTAAAAGCTGAATTTTTCAATTGAAATATGTAATTGACCTTTTTCTAGCTCTTTGAAAAATTACTTAAAGAAATTTTTTTGTTGATTTAGACTTGCAGAAGCTAATTTTTTCGAAAATTCTGATCATTTTTCCAGAATCACCAAAATAAAATGTAGTCAATTTTGAGACGTGTTCAAGTCGTGTCTGATTTTTTTGTTCTGTTTCAGGAAGAATTACTTTTCTTGAAAGCCCTAGTGAGTCCTTCAGAGTTCACAGTTTGCGGACTTTTTTCCCTTAACTTTAAGGTGTTTTTTTCAGTAAGTAACTAATTGTTAATAGTGTTCATAGTCAGATTTTGCTATAGAGGTAATCAGAAATTATTTAGTCGTTATTAAATTTAATAGATTTTGGCGGGAAATTTTCTCTCTCTCTCTCTCTCTCTCTCTCTCTCTCGCTCTCTCTCTCTCTCGCTCTCTCTCTCGCTCTCTCTCTCTCTCGCTCTCTCGCTCTCTCTCGCTCTCTCGCGCGCTCTCTCTCTCTCTCTCTCTCTCTCTCTCTCTCTCTCTCTCTCTCTCTCTCTCTCTCTCTCTCTCGTCAGTTTAAATTTCCCCATAAAAAGTAAGTTGCACCTGATGATATTCTTTATTTCCTTTAATGATTTTTCAGATGATGGCCTCTATGGTCACATACATAGTTTACTTAATACAATTTGGTCAAATGGAGGATTTGAAGCATCGTAGAAGTATTTAATACAGGTTGGATGACTGCTTAAATATTATTATTGTCTCAAAAATCTTTCATTGACTGTGTAACCCTGATAATAAATATTTTTTATTAAAGAGAACAATCTCTTTCTTTCTTTATTCATTCATTATTTAAAATACGAAAAACTCTGATAAAATCCTTATAAAAGTACTGGAACCCAGAGAGAAAAAAGCACCAACCACAGGTTTTTGGTCTACAGATATCTATTTCATAAATATCCTAAAACAACGCTATTTAAGGACCATTGAACCAGTGTTGTAATGATAGTTAATTTTATCATATCAGGTAAATATGCAACCAATCATACACTTTTTTTTTCTGTCTAACATGTATATTGTCACATATATTTAATTATTTGCCGAAAATATTTGTTTTAAAACATTTTTGTCACAGAAATTTTTGTTGTAGAGGTATTTATCTTCTTGAACTGACTGCAATTATATATTTTGATTTGATCACAGATATAGATATTGATGTCTATACTTTGACCCAACGTCAACGGCAACATAACGGCAGTGAGTATAGTTAAATACATAGTCACTGATAACGGCGAAAGTTAAAAGTTGGTCAGCTCGAAAATCACCCCAACGGCATGAAAACTTTCAACGGCAACGTCAGCGACAAGTTTATATATCGACCTCTAACCTCAGTAATGAAACTTTCAGTAGTTTTACATTTGTAACAGAGACATATGTACATGTCAACTGTCAAGAAATTCCAATCCCTCACCGGAAGTCTATATTATACACAAACTGCAGCTTTTTTCATGTTCTAAACCCCTGAAAAAAATTCAATCAGCCAAAAATATGTGACCGATCGTAAAAAAGCACCCAATCAGATGTGGAAGAACCCCCGCGGTTCCAATCGGTGTTTTTCTGTACGATGGGTTGGTACTTTCGTCTCTCTCTCTCTAGTTACTTGCATTTTCAAATCCACCAAATTCTGTCACCTGTCAAAACCAGTGGTGTCCAATTTTAACGGAATTTGAAGTTATAATAGTATATAATGCACCAATAAATCGTTAATTTCCTCATTTTAAGCATCATAAACAATTTTATAAACGTTTAAGGTAATGTTTTACGTTTCTGTTGCGAATCATCACAGTTCATTTTTTATAGGTTAGAGTAAGCGGCAAAATGGACAATACCCAATTTTCAGTCCAAAAAATGGAAGTGGCGGCCCGTAATATCGACAAGTCGCTTGCAATAGATTGCGCGGCGCCTTCCTTACTAGATTTAATGAATATCCACCCCCCTCAGTGCTCCACTGCCAGCGGTTTAACAGACCACGATTACCCGGTCTTAAATGGGGCCCCCTTCGCCCTCAACAACATGTTGCAAATCAAAACTTCCAGTAAAGTGCCACTGCCGCCAGAAATATTGGAACATTTTAGTCGTATCCTTTTACAATGAAAATTTAAACTGTGTACGGTGTGTTACCTTAATTTGGGGGCAGATATTCAGTGTCATTGCATGATGGGGTTATTTCCTGAAGTCAGTCGAGCCTGGCTTACCGTCGACAGCGACATTTACGTCTGGTCATACGAAGACAACTCAGACCTAGCGTATTTCGATGGCTTAAATGAAACAATCTTGAGTGTTGGTTTAATCAAGCCAAAACCCGGCGTTTTTCACGCTTTTATCAAACATTTGTTAATTTTAACAACGGCAGTTGATATTGTTGTGTTAGGAGTGACGTTTACGCCAGGTCCTCATGGACCTTTAGATGAAATTCAGCTGATTCCAGAGCCGGTTTTTACGATACCGACAGATGGGTCTACCATTTCGGCGATCGGGAGCACGGCGGAAGGGCGCCTGTTTCTAGGGAGCAAGGAGGGTTGTCTTTTTGAAATTGTTTACCAGGTAAGGGTGGCCGATTTTTTGGCATCAGATTATGGTGGTGTTGCAGGCTGAAAGTGGTTGGTTTGGTAAAAGATGCAAAAAAATCAACCACTCCACCAGCGCTCTCTCTTTTCTCGTTCCATCGTTCATAAACGCGGCGCTGAGTGAAGAGGATGGAATTGTACAAATCGCGGTGGATAACAGCAGGCACATTCTTTACATTTTGACTGAAAAAGGCTCAATTGAGGTCTATGATTTAGGGATAAAAGGCGACTCCTTCAACAAAATAACGAAAATTTCGCAGTCAACTTTGGTCAATCAAGCTGTAAATATTGTCAAGTTAGTTAACACACTAATTTAATTGTGTGTCAATTTTATCTACAAACTTTAAAATTTTTTTTAGAACTTTGGATAGTCAAAATTTCCGACCTATCGTCAGCATTTCTGCCGTAGAAGCGTCAGAATCCAGTCATATTTACCTAATCGCAGTCACTCAAACCGGCGTTCGTTTTTATTTGACTACACACACTCTGGTCAATATGCCTCCCAATCAAAGACCGTACACTTTATTTTTGCTACACGTCAGACTACCACCTGGGTATTCGGCGAATATCACAGTGCGACCGAGAGCGGTTCACATAGCCCACTACCGAGACCGAAATTTGCTTTTGCTATCAACCGTGAACGAAAAAGACGTATTGTGGTGCATCAGCTCAGATTTGTTCCCTTTCAGTCAAAATCTGATGGAAGCTCACACAACTTTGAGCCTAGATGGTCCTGCACTAGCGCTAGCTGAGGTATTTCGTACCGTTTTATTGTTGTTTCAAGTGTTTTAATTTATTGTTGTGTGCAGATACCTCAAGAAAACCCCCTATCTAACATCAGCCAAGAGGTTTCACCTTTGGTGGTGAGGCAGCATTCAGAAGCGCCCAAGAAGTACGTCGTGTTGACGTCAGAGGGGGTGTATATTTTGTCAAAGATGCGGCCTGTGGATATTTTGAGACAGTTGTTGAGCGATAGTCAAGGTCTTAATAGCGATACTGTGAAGGCTTTTTTTATGATGCAGAAGGAGGATCAAGCGTGCGCTACCAGTTTGATTGTGGCTTCTTTGGACGTTGATGAGAATTTGGAGCTCGCTGAGTTCGCGACTCGGGCGTTCTTTTTGTATGGGGGAGAGCCGAGGTTGGGAGCGCTTGGGTCTATGTCGCAGGGAGCTATACGTAAGTTTTTTTTTTAACTTTAACGCAAATTAAGCTGATTTACGTTAAACATAATATATTTTTTTGTTTACTTGTTATTTGAAAACATTAAAAGATTATATGACAAGATTGAAAGTAGAAATAAAAAGGAATAAACCAGGATGAAACAATGAATGTACTCAAATTTTAGATTCTTTTTCTTTTTTAATGAAAACGTTGAAGGGCAGTATAATACCTTAAAATTTTTCTGTTGGTAATTACACGGTTTTAAACTACAGTTTTCGCAAAAATTTGGATTTATTTACCATCGACAATTTTTTTTTTCATTTTCTTTCATTTTTCTGTATTTCCATTTCTCAATGTTTCGCATAATTTTTGTTTTTTCAACTTTTCTATATTACAATTTTTCAGTGTCTCAATTTTTAGTTTTTCGATTTTTCAATTTTTCATTTCCTCAAATATTGAAGTTTTTGATTTTCATTTCTCCAATTTTTTAATTTTTAATATTTCGATTTTACAATCCACATTTTGTTTTTTCGATTTTTAAGTTTCTAAATTTTTAATGTTCCGATTTTTCGAAATTTTCATCTAATACTTTTTAATTTTTTGATTTTTCAATTTTGCAATTTTTTTATTTGAATAATTGAAAAATCGAAAAACTAAACAACTGGAAAAAATCGAAAAACAGCAAAATCTGAAAAAATCGAAAATCAAAAAATTGGAAAACACAAAAATTGTAAACTCGAAAAATTGAAAAGTCGAATAAATGAAAAAGTTATAAAATCCAATAATTGGAAACTGAAAAAATGTAAAATTGTAAAATTGAAACATTGAATTGTTTTAAATATTATTATTACATATTTAAAACGAAAACTTAAAAAATTGAAGAAATGAAAATTGAAAAATCATAAAACTGAAAAACCTAAAATTGAAAAATCTCACATTGAAAAAAAGAAAAACTAAAAAGAACATTGAAAAACCCAAAAATTGAAAATTTGAAGAAATCAAAAATTGAAAAATCGAAAAACTGAAGAAACAAAATTAAAAATCGAGAAACTTAAAAATCAAAAAAATTAGTGAATCGAAAATTTGAATAGAAGAAAAAACCAATCGAATCGAAAAATTATAGAATCGTCAAAATTGTAAAGTCTAAAAACTGTGGTATTGAAAGATTGAAAAATTGAAAAATTAAATATTGAGAAATTGAAAAATTAAAAATCGCAAAATTGCAAAACCAAAATTGTAAAATTTGGCATTGAAAAATAAAAAAATACATATATAAAATCAGAACATGGATGAACCGGAAAATTGAAAAAATAAAGAAAATAAAAAACCGAAACGAAAAATTGAGAAATTAAAAATCGAAAAATTGAAGCACGAATAAATGAAAAATTTATAAAATACAACAACTAAAAACTGGAAAAAAAAATCTAAAATCGTAAAATTTTTCAATTTCTCGGCTTCCAAATTTTTTAATTTTTCGTTTTTCATTTTTTGCATTTCCAGTTATCCGATTTTCCGATTTTATTAATTTTCAATATTTCAATTTTCAATACATATTTCGGTTTTTTTTTTGACTTTTTTGATGTTTAATCTTTCGATTTTTGGATTTTTCGTTTTTTAAAAGTTTCAAGTTGTTGATTTCAAATTTTTAGATTTTTCAAAGTTTTTATTTTATACTTTCTCATTTTTTCAATTTTTGATTTTTTAATTTTACAATTTTGCAATGTTTTGATTCGAAAAATCGAAAAACTAAACAATTGTATGAAAAACCAAAAAATAGCAAAATTGAAAAATCGAATAAATGAAAAAGTTTAATTAAAATTATGATTCTTAGTACGTATTTAAAATGAAAACTGGTAAAATTTCAAAATCCAAAAATTTCGCATTGAAAAATAAAAAAATTATAAAATCAGAACATTGAAAAACCGGAAAACTGAAAAAATAAAGAAAATAAAAAATCGAAACGAAAAATTGAGAAATTAAAAATTGAAACGTCCAAAAAATGAAAAAATTACAAAATCCAATAACTAAACACTGAAAAAAAATCTAAAATCGTAAACATTTTTCAATATTTAATTTTTCGATTTTTCAATTTTTCGTATCCTCAAATTTTTCAGTTTTTGATTGTTATTAATGCATTTTCTCGATTTTGTATCACAAATTTACGTTTTTTTTTTATTCCCTGTATTTTTTCAATGTTTCTTTCGGTTGTATAATTTTTGGTTTATTCAATTTTCGAATTTTGAATTTCTGGATTTCCAGTTATCCGATTTTTTGTAATTTTTATTACATATTTAAAATGAAAACTGGGAAAATTTCAAATCAGAAATTGAAAAATTGAGAAACTGACAAATTAAAATTTCAAAATCCAACAATTTCGCATTGAAAAATAAAAAATTAGAAAATCAGAACATTGATGAAACGGAAAATTGTAAAAATAAAGAAAATAAAAAACCGAAACGAAAAATTGAGAAATTAAAAATCGAAAAATTGAAACGTCCAATAAATGAAAAAGTTACAAAATCCAATAACTACAAAATGAAAAAAAAATCTAAAATCGTAAAATTTTTTAATTTTTCGATTTTTCAATTTTTCGTTTCCGCAAATTTTGAAGTTTTTGATTTTTATTTTTCATTTTCTCGATTTTGTATCTCAGATTTTCGTTTTTTTATTTCCTGTATTTTGTTCCTATGTTTCTTTCGGTTGTATAATTTTTCGTTTATTCAATTTTCCAATTTTGAATTTCTGGATTTCCAGTTATCCGATTTTCCGGTTTTTAAGTTTTTCAATTTTTAATCTTTCGATTTTTGAATTTTTCGTTTGTTCAACTTTTTAAAGTGTTGATTCCAAATTTTTAGATTTTTTTTGGTTTTATACTTTTCATTTTTTCAATTTTTGATTTTTCAATTTTGCAATTTTTTTATTGGAATAACTGAAAAATCGCAAAACCAAACAATTGTAAAAAATCGAAAAACTGAAGAAACGAAAAATTATAGATTCGTCAAAATTGGAAAATCGAAAAATTGTAGCATTGAGAGTGAAAAATTAAAAATTGTAAAATCGAATAAACGAAAAATTTTTAAAAATCCGCAATTGAAGAAACGAAAAATTGAAAAATTAAAAATCGAAAAATTGAAAAGTCGAATAAAATAGAATCCAAGACCTGGAAACTGAAAAAATTTTAAATTGTAAAATTGAAAAAGTGAATTATTTTAAATATTATTACACATTTAAAACGAAAACTTCAAAAATATTAAATGAAAAATTGAAGAAATGAAAATTGAAAAATCATAAAAGTGAAAAATCTAAAATTGAAAAATTTCACAAAAAAAGAAAATAATAACCAAAACGAAAAATTGCAAATCGAAAATTTGAAGAAATGAAATATTATAGAATCGAAAAATTAAAAAAAGAAAAATCAAAAAACCTAAACAATTGAAGAAATTAAAAAATCGTAAAACGTGAAAATCGAAAAAAATTAATGAATCGAAAATTTGGAAAGAAGAAAAACGAATCGAATTGAAAAATTGGAAAACCCAAAAATTGTATAATCGAAAAGTTATAGCATCGTCAAAATTGTAAATAAATGAAAAAGTTTAATTACAAAATTATAATGAATATAATGTTGGTAATGTGTGTACATTTATTTCATCCCTCATACTTTAAGGTTGTCAACTTAGTAGGCATAGAGACACATTTTGTTGATATAATAATTGATGTAAAAAATCGTCGTCTTCGTTGATTCACTATTAAAGTCTCTCCAATTGGTTACAATCGTCCGACTTGTCAAAAGGGAAAATATCAAAAGATGTCACCCCCTTCGGGAGTTACAGGAACCTGTAATTAATCCGTTTTGTCGCGCGCCAAAACAGTTTGTGCTTGAATTGATATTATCAAAATGTCCAAAAAATATTGCCCTGTGCCTGCTTGTGGGGTAATCAAGGATCCTAGAGACCACAAAATAATGCAGATTCCCTTCAAACACTGTGAACAAAAGGTTGTGGTGCAAAAAGGTTTTTAATGCCACAAGTAGGTACCCCAACATGAATCTTTTACCTAAGGGAATGTATAGCCATTAAAACCATTTCAGGTGATAATATTGCCAATAATTTATACATTTGTGGTAAACACTTTGAGAGAAGTTGTTATTACACAAATAAAAGACTTAAACCCGGCTCTGTTCCTACTTTGTTCCTCCATGGTTCCAAGTCACCGCTACCTGTTCCTACTTCTTCAAGCTCCCCAGCAAGTACTAAACGTGATCCAGAATGCAGCTTCATAATTCCTGAGACACATTCCGATAACAATGTAAACACCTCAAAGAAAAACTTTCCTACTGCATATCCCTTTGCAGACCATCCACACCCATGGCGTTGTGACTTTGGCACCGGTACCGAAATTTTGCCTCTTTTTCAAGTAAAAACTGAAATACATGACGTCAAATTGTGTCAAAAAGTCAGACCACGACAGACATTTAGCCGACATTACAGATTCCTTTCCCTCCCGACGTATGCTCCCTCACATGTCACATTTAAGGGATTGGAGAGACTTTAATAGTGAATCAACGAAGACGACGTAAAAAATATACTCTCGACTGACGTGTATTAAGAGATTGCATTTCAATTCCTTCCCTATTGTTCCTACATTGGTTATGGGCCCAGAAGGCGTGTGAGTGTGAGTCTTGATAAATCTACGATGAACGTGAACGGCACTGTGAGAATCGAAGTCCTCGGACGCAACAATTACGATACGTGGGAGAAAACAGAAGATGTAAGCTGTGAAGTTTGTTTTAAGGCGAAGATGAGCAGGCCACCATTTCCAAAAGAAACAGAGCGAAATACGACAAAGTTAGAGCTCATACACACAGACATATGTGGCCCAATGAGAATTTCTTCGAACGGTGGATCGCTATATTTCATCACCTTCATTGATCACTGTTCTCGGTGGACAGAGGTGCGATTCATGAAAAATAAGAATCAGGCTCTTGAAGAGTTCAAAAGATTCAAGGCGCTGGTCGAGAAGAAACACGGCGTATTCATCAAGGAGATTCAGTCCGACAACGGGGGCGAGTATGTGAATGCGGAATTTGACGAATTTTTGAAGTCAGAAGGTATCAAACATAGACTCACGGCTCCTTACACACCGCAACAGAACGGGGTAGCGGAAAGGATGAATAGAACGTTGATAGAAATGGCTCGTTGTCTCTTAATTCAATCCGGTCTATCATCGTCTTTCTGGGCAGAAGCCGTGTCGACGGCGTGTCACATCAGAAATCGATGTCCAGCAAAGAAGATCTGTGGAAAGACTCCGTACCAGCTTTGGAATGGCAGAGTCCCAACTGTGGTCTATTTCCGAGAGTTTGGATGTAGGGCATTTATTTTGAATAAGACACCAACTAAGGGGAAGCTAGACAACAGATCAAGAGAAGGAATTTTTGTGGGGTATGCCGATTTATCAAAGGCGTATCGAATATGGCTGCCGGATTCCAGAAAAATAGAAATAACGAGAGACGTGAAATTCATGGAGAACGACCACAAGTTTTCTATCGAGAAGGATGTCGAGCGCGATTGGTTTGATGTAGACATTGTTAAGAAATCCGTTGAGGAGGTTGAACTGCAACCTGAACCGAATCTTGAAGAGGTAATCGGAGGTTTTTCGCCAGAATTAGGTGAAAATGATGTCCAAGAAGAAGAAATGGCACCGGTTCGACGACCGGGACGGCCGAGAATCATCAGAACAGGACGTTCGGGACGACCACGTAAAGATTTCGCTAAGCAAGTAGTTCTAGAACCAGTAAGTGCCGACATTGCTGAAATTTCCGCGAGAAAAGCCATGTCTGGATCCGATCATCCAGAGTGGATTGAAGCTATGGCTTCGGAAGTGAAATCCTTAATTAAAAACAATACTTGGTATTTGGTAGACAGGCCAGGGGGTCAGCGGATCATTGGAAGTAGATTTGTTTTACGGAACAAGTATAAGTCAGACGGCACGATAGACAAGCGCAAGGCTCGTGTGGTGGCTCAAGGGTTTGGTATGAAACCTGAAATAGACTTTCACGAAACGTTTGCTCCCGTGACAAGATTGGCTTCTATACGTGCTGCGGTTGCAGTAGCTTTCTCTAAAGACATGAAGATTCGGCAACTCGATATAACTACAGCTTATCTGAATGGAATTATCAAAGAGAAGATCTTTATGGAGACTCCGAAACATTTAGAAGAAATACTTGAACACATCGTGAGAACCGAAAAGAAGGAAACAACAATCAGAGAAGAAGCAAGAAAGATGATGGAGCGAATGCGTAAAGGCGACGTGGTTTGTTTACTGAACAAGGGTCTTTACGGTCTACCACAAGCTGGCAGAGCTTGGAACGATCGATTAGATGAAGAACTCCGAAGTCTTGGAGCGGTTCCATCCGATGCAGATCCTTGTGTATACGTCGTCCAGGCATCGAACGTCACAAGTTTTATAGTCATTTACGTTGACGATATATTGATTATGTCGAGCAGTGAAGTCGAAATCGAACGACTGAAAAATTGTCTTTGTAGAAAGTTTGACGTCAAAGACTTGGGAGATCTTAAGTACTGTCTAGGTGTTGATTTTGAAAGAACAGACAATTATCTAGCCATTAGCCAGAGGGGATACATTGATGATCTACTCGAGAAGTTTGATATGAGTCTTTGCAATCCGGTTTCTACACCATTAGAGTTGGGGATTAATTTGACGAAAGACGAAGGAGAAGACGCTTGCCCGAAGAATATCCCCTATCAAGAACTCATCGGCGGACTAATGTATTTATCTATGGGAACTAGACCAGATATTACACATGCAGTAAGCTATCGTAGTCAATTTAACAGTTGCTTTAGAGAGTCGCATTGGAAGGCAGCAAAAAGGGTATTACGTTATCTTAAAGGGACTAGAGATCTGAATCTAGTGTACTCTCGAGGCAGCGCAGGCGAACCTCCAGTAATGTATACTGATGCTGACTGGGGTAGTTGTCTGGTTGATAGGAAATCTTATACAGGATATGTTTTCCTAATCGGGGGTACAGCAGTGAGCTGGGGATCAAGGAAACAGCGGTCTGTGGCCCTTTCATCGACAGAGGCTGAGTATATGGCGCTAACCGATGCGGCAAAAGAGGCCATTTATATGAAGAAGTTACTAAAGAGTCTGGGTGTTAACCTCGAGACGATAATTTTGAGGAATGATAACATTGGTGCTGAAAAGTTATCGGGAAACCCAGTTTTTCACGCTCGTTCGAAGCACATAGATATACGACACCATTTTGTTCGAGACTGTGTGAAGAAGAAGGAGATTGTGATTGAACACGTTGCTACTGAGGAGATGACAGCGGACATTCTAACTAAAGGACTTTCGAAGGCTAAGCATGAGAAGTGTGTCCAAGGTCTTGGGATGAGACGCGATGTAGTAAAGTGTTTGCGATAAAGTAGTTGAGGTTTGAGGGGAAGTGTTGGTAATGTGTGTACATTTATTTCATCCCTCATACTTTAAGGTTGTCAACTTAGTAGGCATAGAGACACATTTTGTTGATATAATAATTGATGTAAAAAATATACTCTCGACTGACGTGTATTAAGAGATTGCATTTCAATTCCTTCCCTATTGTTCCTACATATAACATGAAATCTGGAAAAATTTCAAATCAGAAACTGAAAAATCAAAATTTCAAAATCCAAAAATTGAAAAATTTCGCATTGAAAAATAAAAAAAAATAGATGACATCGAAGAACCGGAAAATGGAAAAAATAAAGAAAATAAAAAACGAAACGAAAAATAGAGAAATTAAAATTCGAAAAATTGATACGTCGAATAAATGAAAAAGTTATAAAATCCAATAACTAAAAACTGAAAAAAAAATCTAAAACCGTATTTTTTTCAGTTTTGACTTCCAAATTTTTCAATTTTTTGTTTCCTCAGATTTTTAAGTTTTTGATTTTTATTTTTCATTTTCCCGACTTTGTATCACAGATTTTCGTTTATTTCCTGTATTTTTTTTAATGTTTCTTGTTCAGTTTTATAATTTTTCGTTTATTCAATTTCCAGTTATCAGATTTTGAACTTTTTTGATTTTCTGGTATCCAATTTTTAATTTTCCATTTTTGAATTTTTCGTTTCTTCAACTTTTCAAGTTTCAAATTTTTAAATTTTTCAAAGTTGTCATTTTATACTTTCTCATTTTTTCAATTTTTGATTCTTCAATTTTACAATTTTGCAATTTTTTAATTCGAAAAATTGAAAAATCGATAAATAGCAAAATCGGAAAAGTGGAAAATTAAAAAATTGCAAATCGAAGAACGGAAGAAAGGAAAAACTAAAACATTGAAAAATGAAAAATCGAAAAGTTGAAAAATGAAATAAATGAAAAAAATTTAAAATTATAATTGTTATTACACATTTAAAATGAAAACTGGAAAAATTTCAATTAAAAAATTGGAAAAACCAAAAATTGAAAAATTTTACATTGAAAAAAGAAAAATTATAAAATCGAATTAATGAAAGAGTTATAAAATCTAATTACAGAAAAATGAAAAAATTATCAAAAAATAAAGAAAATAAAAGTGCAAACGAAAAATTGCAAATCAAAAAATTGAAACAACCAAAAGTTGGAAAATCGAAAAAATGAAAAATTGCAAATCGAAAAATTGAAGCAACGAAAATTTGAAATTAAAAACCAAAAATTATAACATCCAAACATCGAAAAATTGCAAAAATGAAGAAAATAAAAAAACGAATCAGAAAATTGCATATCAAAAATTTAAAGAAATGAAAAATTAGAGAATCGAAGAATTGAAGAAACGGAAATCTGAAAAAAATAAAAAATTATAAAATCGAATAACTGAAAAATTAAAAATTGAAAACTCGAAGAGTTGCGTATCGTAAAATTGAAGAAACAAAAAAAATGGAAAATTGGAATTGAAAAATCAAAGATGCAGAAAATAAAAAACTGAAACGAAAAATCGAAAAATTACAAAAATGAAGAAATTAAAAACCGAAACGAAAAGTTGCATATCTAAAATTTGATTAAATAAAAAATTAAAGATTCGAAAAATTGAAGCTGTTCGAAAAACTACTTAAGTTAAAATTTTATTAAATAAGTAAATTAAACTGAATGACGAAATCTATCTTGAGTAACTGCAAATAATAATAATAATATTTCAGTTTCAGGAACGTCTCCATTTTCGCCAAACATCATCTCGACCCCCGCCGACCCCCACCGTTTACACCAGCCGCAATCCCTCCAACCCCCAAACCTAACCTACCCCCACTTCGACGTGAACAACCCCTTCGTATTTTCCTCCAAACATAACGGCCTCTACTTATACTTAGGCAGGATTTTACGACCAATCTGGAACAGACGATGCATCGAGAAAATCTGCCTGGATGGAAAAACCGTGATGGTCAGTTTCCCCCAAAAATAATTTTTGTCGTTTCATAGTCAGTTCGCAGAACGCCAGCACCATCACCAGCGACCAGTGCAGATGGATCCTCAACTACCTAACGACACTCCACAACTTCCTCCTCTCAAACACCCAACTAGCCATCTGCGACAACTCCACCCAACTGGACGCAACCCTCAACACCACCCAAGTGAACACCACCAGCCGCTTGAACCACACATTACAAGACGCACAAATGGAGGAAAGAATATCCCTCAACTCCCTGAAGTTGTTCGTGTGCCACTGCTGCCAAATCATGGGTCTCTGGCGAATCCTGTGCGAGCACCAATTCCACGTCTTAATCGGGACTCTCCCAGACAACTACCAGACGATGCTGCAAGACACCACGTTCAAAGATTTGTTCCTGTATGGTCAAGACATTTGTTCTTTGTTGATAACGACATTAGTTGACAGCTACCTGGGGGATAACGCCTCAGTCGACTCCATCAGCACTAAACTAAGAGAAGTTTGCCCCCAACTCTACAAAATTGAAGATGCGGCGTTCTCGAAGGCCAACGAGATGTTGAAGTCCTCCAGGGGGATACAGAACATCGACGAGAAGGAGGATATGGTGATGTCGGCTCTCGAGCTGTGCAAATCTATCGCTCCCAACGTTAATCTACCGGGGATTTGTAAACAGTTCGTTTCTTTGAAAGCGTATCACGCTGTCATTGATTTGTGTATCACGTGTGCGAAGAAGGTCGATCCGGATAACATCGCGGAGCATTTTTATAAGAATGATTCGTCAGTGGCGGATCAGGAAGGACGGGATTTCTATCACAAACGGTAGGTTAAATTTAAAAAAAGTTGGTCTGAAATTATTAACAGTTAATTTGTCGTGGGTCTTCAGGTCATATTTGTGTAATAATTTTTGATGTAACGTCGTCAGCAGACTGGAGGGGATGAATAAATAAAGTTTATTTTTATTTGGTGTTAGCTGCTTTTTTGTAGTATTTTTGGGAACGCTGCATAAATTTATCTTTGATAAATAGTTGTCAAAAGAAAAACAATAATAAGCTGTTCTTGACGTTGTGTTCTTTTTTTACACATTTTTATGCTTTTTGAGGTCGCTTTTTTGCTTTTTTTTATCTAATTTCACACACCTTTTTTGTTTTTTAAATTGTTTACCCCTTTTTTTGCTTTTTTTATAATATTTTTTATATCCTCTTTTTCTTGTCACTTTTTAGGCGCTTTTTCTGTCGCTTTTGTTGTGGCTTTTTTGTCAGTTTTGTTTGCTCCTTTTTCTAGCTTTATCTTTTTATCAACTTTTTTACTTGTTTTATCACCTTTTTATTTTTGTTTTTTTTTTTCGCTTTCAGTGGTCCCTTTTTTATCGGTTTTCCTTTATTTATTTTTTTTTCTCTTTATTGCGCTTTTTACGTCTTTTTATTTGCGTTTTTCTTTTGTCATGTTTTTGCCTTTTGCCACTTGGTCGCATTTTGTTGTCACTTTTTTGCCTCATTCTTTTAGTCGCTTTTTTATGTGTTTCTTTTGACTTTTTATAGTGTTTTTTAACACCTTTTTTTTTCAGTTTTTGTCTCGTTTTCTGTCATTTTTCGCCGCTTTTTTTGGCTCCCCTTTTTTGTTGCGTTGTTTACCCTTGTTTTGTCTTTTTTTACCATTTTTATGACTTTTAGCTCCCTTTTTTTGTGACTGTTTTTATTTATTTTTTTGTGGTTTCTTTCTTGTCTTTTTTTTAATCTCTTTTTAAGTCTTCTTTTTTGGTACGTTTTTGGAGCCCTTTTTATCAGCTTTTCCTCCCTTTTTTTGGAGCAATTTTTTCATTTTTTAACTTTTGTTGGCCCTTTTTGTAGCTTTTGTACTCCCCGTTTTATCGGATTTTCCAAATTTTTTCCCGTTTTTTTTTGGCGACTTTTCACATGTGTCTCCCTTTTTTAATCACATTTTGTGCCTTTTTTTCTCCGAATTTTTGGTGGTTTTTCGTTTTTTTTTTTACCATTTTTGTGACATTTTTGGCTCCCCTTTTTTGTGACAGTTTTTATAATTTTTTGTGGTTTCTATCTTGCCCCATTTTTTTGGTCTTTTTTTAAGTCTTATTTTTTGTCGCGTTTTTTGCCTTTTTGTATTTTTTTCTCACTTCTTTTGTTGGCCCTTTTTGTATCTTTTGTACTCCCCGTTTACCAGATTTTCCAAATTTGTTCCGTTTTTTGTCACGTTTTTTGTCTTTTTTTTTTTTCTCCGAATTTTTTGTACTTTTTGTTTACAAGTTTTGTCTTTTTTTCCGTTTTTTGTCTGTTTTTACCATTTTTGTGACATTTTTGGCTCCCCTTTTTTTGTGACTGTTATTATTTTTTTGTGGTTTCTTTCTTGTCCCTTTTTTTCTTTTTTTAGTCTCTTTTTTCAAGTCTTATTTGTTGTCACGTTTTTTACCATTTTTCGATCCATTTTTGTCTTTCTTTTGCATCCTCCACGTTTCTTGTAACTTTTTTGTTGCTTTTTTTTTGAGCCTTTTTTTTTCACCTTTTTCCCATTTTTTTGTTACCGTTTTTGTTCCCTTTTTTCATTTTTTAACTCTCTTTTCTTGCCCCTTTTGTAGCTTTTGTACTCTCCGTTTTATCGGATTTTCCAAATTTTTACCCTTTTTTTTGGCGACTTTTCACATTTTTCCCCTTTTTTATCTTTTTTTCTCCGAATTTTTTGTAGGTTTTTTTTTACAAGTCTATCACTTTTATTTTTCCGTTTTTTGTCTTTTTTTACCATTTTTGTGACATTTTTGGCTCCCCTTTTTTGTGAATGTTTTTATTTTTTTTATGATTTCTTTCTTTTGTCTCATTTTTTGCGTTTCTTTTTTTTTGACTCTTATTTTTTATCGCGTTTTTGCCATTTTTCCTTCCATTTTTGTCCCTTTTTTTGCGTTTCTCATAATTTTTTTGTTGCTTTTTTGAGCTCTTTTTTAATAGCTCTTCCCCCATTTTTGTCACCTTTTTTTTTCATTTTTTAACTCTTATGTTGGCCCTTTTTGTAACTTTTGTGTTCCCCGTTTTATCGGATTTTCCTAATTTTTCCCTTTTTTGTCACATTTTTGCCTCTTCTCCGAATTTTTTGTAGTTTTTTTTACAAGTTTTTCACTTTTGTTTTTCCGTTTTTTGTCTTTTTTTTTACCATTTTTGCCTCCCCTTTTTTGTGAATGTTTTTATTTTTTTTATGATTTCTTTCTTTTGTCTCATTTTTTGCGTTTCTTTTTTTTTTGACTCTTATTTTTTATCGCGTTTTTGCCATTTTTCCTTCCATTTTTGTCCTTTTTTTTGCGTTTCTTATAATTTTTTTGTTGCTTTTTTTTGAGCTCTTTTTTTAACAGCTCTTCCCCCATTTTTTTGTCACCTTTTTTTTTTTTTTCATTTTTTCACTTCTTTTGTTGGCCCTTTTTGTATCTTTTGTAATCCCCGTTTTATCGGATTTTCCAAATTTTTTCCCTTTTTTAGGCGACTTTTCACATTTTTCCCCTTTTTTGCCTTTTTTCCGTTTTTTGTCTATTTTTACCATTTTTGTGACATTTTTGGTTTCCCTTTTTTTGTGAATGTTTTTATTAATTTTTTGTGGTTTCTTTCTTGCCCCTTTTTTTTAGTCTCTTTTTTCAAGTCTTATTTTTTATCACGTTTTTGCCATTTTTCGATCCATTTTTGTCTTTTTTTTTGCGTTTCTTGTAACTTTTTTGTTGTTTTCTTTCAGAACTCTTTTGTTATTAGCTTTCTCCCCATTTTTTTTGTTACCCTTTTTGTCCCATTTTTTCATCTTTTAATTTTTATGTTGGCCCTTTTTGTACCTCCTGTTTTTTCGGATTTTCCAAATTTGTTTCCTTTTTTGTCACGTTTTTTGTCTTTTTTCACCATTTTTGGTACAATTTTGGCTCCCTTTTTATTTTTTGGTGGTTTCTTTCTTTTGTCCCATTTTTTCCTTTGTTTTTTTTTAACTATTATTTTTTATCGCGTGTTTGGCATTTTTTGTTCCAGTTTTGCCTCTTTTTTGCGTTTCTTGTCTTTTTTTTGTTGCTTTTTTTGAGCCCTTGTTTTAACAGTTTTTCCCCATTTTTTGTTACCCTATTTTGTCGCCTTTTTTCATGTTTTAACTTTTTTATTGGCTCTTTTTGTAGCTTTTGTACTCCCCGTTTATCAACTTTTCAAAAAAAAAAAATTTCCCCTATTTTTTTATGACTTTTTTCCACTTTTTTCCATTTTCTTTTTTGTCCCGTTTTTTGTCTCCTTTTCTCCGCGTTATTTTTCGCTTTTTTATGGCTTCCTTTCTTTAAGTCGCCTTTTTGTCACTTTTTTATCAATTTTATGATCGCCTTTTTTGCATCACTTTTTTTCCTTCTTTTTTTGTCATAATTAAAATTATAAAATCGAAACACTGAAAAGTCGAATAAGTGAAAAATTAAAAATTGAAAAGTCTAATAAATGAAAAACTTTATAAAATCCAGTACCTAAAAACTGAAAAAATTCTAAAAACGTAAAATTGAAAAAGTGAATTATTTTAATAATAATAATTTATTTTCAGCAGACTAGAAGTCTAGAGTGGAACATAATACTAATAAACAACTAATTGTAATTAACAATAGTAAATGTGATAAGAAAATAGAATGAAAATAAAAATAAATAAGAGAGACACATCAAAAATTCTCACATAAATGTAGCAATTTAGTTTTTATCTTATCTTTAATTATTATATTAATTTTAAAAATTATTATTATTACATATTTAAAACGAAAACTCGAAAAATTGCAAATCAAAAATTGAAAAAATAAAGAAAATGAGAAACCAAAACGAAAAATTCCAAATCAAAAAATGGAAGACATGAAAATTGAAAATTTGTAAAACTGCAAATCGAAAAAGTGAAACATTTCACATTGATAAATAGAAAAATTATAAAATCGAAAAATTGAAAAGTCGAATAAATGAAAAAGTTATAAAATCCAATACCAAATTTTCCGAATTTTTTCCATTTTTTATGCCTTTTCCACTTTTTTTCCTGTTTTTCTTTTTATTTGCTCCCTGGCTTTAAGTTGCCTTTTTGTCACTTTTATCGATATTATGATCGTTTTTTTTTTATCACTTTTTTTTTCTTTTTTTTTTCTTGTCATATTTTGGCTTTTTTTGTTGATTTTGTTGGCACCTTTTTTTGTCCCATTTATTATTGGCTCCCTATTTTCTTATCTTTTTTATTGCCTTTTTTTATCACTTTTTTTTTTCTCTCTTTTTCCTTGTTAGTGTTGGCTGATAGCAAGAGTTAACTTAAAAAAAAGTGGCATAATCAAATTTTATTTTTTTTTTCTGAAACACTGAATTCTTTTTATTGCATTTCAAAGCCGAAGGAAAAAATTTGGACCTTTTTTTTCATTATTTAAAAGAATTTAATTTGTCTGTTATAAAAATAGATTTTTTTTGTGTATTGTGAGATAAATTTTCAATGTTTTCTTGAAAAATATTATTTTATAAAGTTTAAGCCACGGTAGTCGTGAGCACACCCACATTCCACAACAATCAAGTCAGTAGTTTCGGAGACAGACAGACGGAAGCCATTTGCTATTTATTTTAGAATTTGTGTTATAATTTTCGTAATTATCTTACAGCATGAACATCTACAAGGAAGTCTTCACCATGCTAGACACCCTATGCGCCGAAAACCCCACAAACCTCAACATCACCGCCCCCGTGCCCATCCCCACGGAAGGCGACATCCGAATCATGGTGATGCAACTAATCAACGAAATCCTGGAACTCCCAGACGAGATCCTCCACGTGGCGCTCTACGACTGGATGATGAAAAAACAAATGAGCAGCGAACTAATCAAAATCAACAACTCCTCCCTGGAAACGTACCTCCTCCACACGTCACAGCAGAACCCCGACAACACCGCCGTCGTCGACTTATTGTGGAAATACTACGAAAACAACAACAACCACGCCGCCGCGGCCAAAATTCTGGACAGTCTGGCGTCGAAAACGGGGTAAAATCGCATTCATGCATTTTTTGAGGTTATGACGCGTTTTTGATTTAGGGCAGCCTTGAGTCTTAAGGAGCGTCTGGAATACTTGACACGTGCCATTATGTGCATGAGAAGCGATAAAGTGGGGTATGCGCCGTATCTGGGGGTGTTTTTGAGGGACTTGGAGGATAAAATGGAGGTGGCGAAGGTGCAGGAGCAGATCCTGGAGGCGGTGGTTAATTTGCGGGGGACGCATCCGGCCGCCGAGGAGGCGATAGTTGCTCTAAATTCTGGGCTATATCAAATTTCGCAGGTTTGCCCAGCACTCATATATTTGCTTATCCCCTCTAAACAATTGATCAAAATCAATCAGTCAATTTATTAGTTATTTTTTTTTTACATCCTAGTTTTTATTATAGTTGTATGAAAATTTCGCCGACCCTCTTGAGCTGTGGGAGTGTCAACTCGCCATCATCGACTGCGCTGGATACAGCGATGAAAATTTGATTGAAAAAATTTGGAGGAACATCCTTAGACGAGAAATACGGAAAAGTACTGGAAATCCGAATAACCGAATGGCGCAAATTTTGACCAAAGTGAAGCACATAGCGCGAAAATGTGGCATTTCAACCCAGTGTTTCCCATTAGGTACTACCATTTTTTTTTTTTTTCTAGTTGGTAATAATGTTATTTTAGCGTTCCTGATTTCCGAGTTAGAGCAGCTGTCAACATACCTCAAGTCTGACAGATCATTAGTCCCTAAAGCTTTTGTTTCAATGGAATTACCATTTGACGGTTTACTAGAAATTTACAACAGACTAATGGCAACAGTGTCAGAAATCCAAATTTGGCAAAAAGAGGAGAACGAGTTTCATTTGTTTGAAGCCGTGGCTTGCCTAATTGAAACGTTCTTGAACACACATGAGGCATACAATAACGTCCAAAAGTAAGCTATATTTAAAGTTCATAATAAAAAACGTATTAATTTTTTTTTTTTTTAGGCGAAAAATTATTTCCCAGTGTCAAGACACCGTAGCCAGTCTACTGTCAATTTTATACAGTAAAGCCAACACTGAACAGTTAATAAATATCTTGCGTGGCATCCAAAGCAGACTGTCTAGGTTGTAAGTTAGGATTGAAATCAGTGCCTGTCATATTATGTGTTCAGTGATCGAAACTGTTTATATTTTACTTGATTTACATAAATCGATTTTTGTACTCATTCGCCTATTAGTCCGTCCATTTCCTCTTGATCTACAATCAATATAATTTCATCCTCATCATTGACAGGTTCCTGTTCCTGGGTTTTAGGCTTGTCGTTTCCGCTTTGCGTGGTAGCGACATCTTTCGTCGTTTTGGTGCTTTCATCACCAACAGAGTGACTACAACTAGCTTCCGCTTTCTGTTTATCAAACCTGTCCCTGATCAAAGTGATCTTTTTTTTAGGGTTTTCTGCGTCAGCAGACACATTTTTATCAACTGTTTCAAGTGTGTTACTAGTGCTGGATTTGTCTTTTTGTTCTATGTCTGATTCACTTGATTCAATAACGATTTCCTGACTCGCGGGCACTTCAATTATCACTGAATCACTGTCTGAGTTTATGTTTGAATCTGACTCGATTTTAATTTCAGTTTGGGCGTTTTTATTGGTGGCTTCTAGCATCAGCTGTGATCTTATAGCTCTGGCTCTGGCTTGCAGCTCCAACAGCTCCAAAACGCTCATTAAATTTTCTTCTTCCAGAGGTCCATCTTTGCGCTTTCTGTTCTGAATTGATTTCTCCTTTTTGATTTTACTGACTCTTGGTTCTTCTTTAATTTGACTAGATTTCTTCTTCTTGGACTTGTCTACAAAAACTATTTATGCAAACGTAATGTCTAATACTAAATTTATTTGTGTTTACCCCCATCTACTTCCACAATGAAGTCATCTTCACTCACATCATCGAGCGATATTATGTCTGGTTGTTTCTCGTCTTCGGGGTCCGTCGAGCTGCTATCTTGGTCCAAGTTTTGTCCGTTAAAAATGTACTTGAGTCTTTTGTTGGAAATTCCGAGGAGTTCTTCCAGCAGCATTGAGTTTATTTCGCCAATATCTAGGTGCTGGTTAACCAAAATTAATTTCGATTAATTATGAATGAAGGCAAATCACCACTTACTTTAATGCAATCCGGTGCCATTGTCTTTATTTTCTTGGGTTTGATTATTTTTAACACCTCTTTCATTAGTTTTACTCTGTCGTCTAAAAAGTACGAGAGTTCGTGGATGTTTTCTTCATTTTCGGAGTCAGACTTTTCCGCGGATTTGCTGGCTCTACGTTTTTCTCTTTTCGGTTTAAAGTAAGTGTTCATGGTGAGGTTTCATTTATTTTTTAATTCAAAATTGTTGCGATTCAAACATTGTGTAAACATAGCCTCACATCTAAGGTGTCTGTCGCTGTCACTTTACCACAAACTGTCATTGTAGTTAGTCACGTGGGCAGTATCGTTCAGTGCTGACGTGACCAACATATGTTTCGAAATACACTACATCGAATTGAATTACATTTCTTAGGTACATGACAAAATAAGAAAGTAGCCACTAGCCACTAAACAAACAGATATCAATTATAGTGTATATGAAGCCTGAAACTGTAATATACTTATTAGAACTTGCTTACCACATGTTACTACGAGTGTCGCAAAATTTAAATTAAAAACTGTCGATTTTCGTGTCATTATTATTTTTTTAATTATAGTAGTTTACACTTATTTATTGAAGTTTTTAAAAGAACTTCCCTTCATCCTGAAGTGTAACGTGCTATCAAGCGAATTCAGTTTCATAGATAAATTACAAAATTTGATTTTATAAATTTTATTTTTTTTATGATAAACCCTATAAGTTAAAATAAATATGTTTCAAAAGGTAGTGGCACAAAAAAGGTGACAAAAAATGTAGCAAAAAACACACGAATAAAGAAGAATAAAAAGCCACCAAAAAAAACGAAAACACACATAAAAAGACTCAAAATGCGTTAAAACAAGTGAAAAAGACCCAAAAAATCCGCAAAATGAAAAAGTAATAAAAAATGAGTAAAAAAAGAGACGAAAAAAATTGTCAAACAAAATGTTGAGACAATAAAAGAACCTAAAACGACTACAACAAAATGCGATGAAAGGAAGGATAACTACAGAGGAGACAAACAGGCAACAAAAAAATGTGATGAAAAGGGGACTAAAAAAACAAATAACAAAAGATGACATCAAATGGCGACAAAAGAAGTTGGTAAAAAAAGTCATAAAAATGGGAAAAAACTTATTAAAAAAGGTCAAAAAGAAAAAGTAATAAAAGGCAAATGGGAAAATGAGAGAGAGAGTGATAAATGGAAGAATGAGAGGAAGTGCTAAATGTGAAAAGGAGAGAGGGAGAGAGAGATTGATAAATGGGAGAATGAGAGAGTGATAAACAGGAGAATGAGAGAGAGAGAGATGTAAACAAGAGAATGGGACGAGTTAATTTCAGATAAGCCCGAGTTTAAGTTCTTATGGTTACGTTCTTACGTTTCCGTTTTTACGTTTCCGTTCCTACGGTTGCGTTCTTATGCTTACGAAAATGAGAGAGAGTGATAAATGAGAGAATGACAGATAGTGATAAATGGGACAATGAGAGAGAAAGTGATAAATGGAAGAATGAGAGAGAGTGATAAATGGGACAATGAGAGAGAGTGATAAACGGAAGAATGGGAGTGAGTGATAAACAGGAGAATGAGAGAGAGAGAGAGAGAGAGAGTCGTAAACAGGAAAATGAGACGAATTAATTTCGGATAAGCCCGAGTTTAAGTTCTTATGGTTAGGTTCTTACGTTTCCGTTTTTACGTTTCCGTTCCTACAGTTGCGTTCTTACGCTTACGAGAATGAGAGAGGGAGTGATAAATGGGAGAATGAGAGAGAGAGTGATAAATGAGAGAATGAGAGAGATTGGTAAATGGGAGAATGGGAGAGATTGATAAATGTTACAATGAGAGAGCGAGTGATAAATGGGAGAATGAGAGAGAGAGTGATCAATGAGAGAATGAGAGAGATTGATAAATGGGAGACTGAGAGAGAGTGATAAATGAGGGAATGAAAGAGAGTGATAAATGGGAGAATGAGAGAGACTGATAAATTGGAGAATGAGAGAGAGTGTGATAAATGGGAGAATGAGAGAGAGAGAGAGAGAAAGAGTGATAAATGGGAGAATGAGAAAGAGAGTGATAAATGGGAGAATGAGAGAGAGAGTGATAAATACGAGAATGAGAGAGAGAATGATAAATAAATAGGAGAACGAGGGAGAGAGAGAGTGATAAATGAGAGAATGAGAGAGAATGATAAATGGGAGAATGACAGAGAGTGATAAATGGGACAATGAGAGAGAGTGATAAATGGGAGAATGAGAGAGGGTGATAAATGGGAGAATGAGAGAGAGAGTAATAAACAGGAGAATGAGAGAGAGAGTTGTAAACAGAAGAGAGAGACGAATTAATTTCGGATAAGCCCGAGTTCAAGTTCTTATGGTTCGGTTCTTACGTTTCCGTTTTTACGTTTCCGTTCCTACGGTTGCGTTCTTACTTTTACGAGAATGAGAGAGAGTGATAAATGAGAGAATGAGAGAGAGTGATAAATAAGAGAATGAGAGAAAATGATAAATGGGAGAATGAGAGAGAGTGATAAATGGGAGAATGAGAGAGATTGATAAATGGGAGAACGAGAGAGAGAGAGAGTGATAAATGGAAGAATGACAGAAAGAGTGATAAATGAGAGAATGAGAGAGATTGATAAATGGGAGACTGAGAGAGTATGATAAATGAGGGAATGAGAGAGACTGATAAATGGGAGAATGAAAAAGAGAGTGATAAATGGTAGAATGAGAGAGAGAGTGATAAATATGAGAATGAGAGAGAGAGAATGATAAATGGGAGAATGAGAGAGAGAGAGAGAGAGAGAGTGACAAATGGGAGAATGAGAGAGAATGATAAATTGGAGAATGAGACAGTGATAAATGGGAGAAAGAGAGAGAGGGAGGTTAAAAAGAAATCGAACAAAAGGGAAAAGGGCCTAAAAAGTGCAAGAAAAAACGATAAAAAAAGAGGACCAAAAGCAACCAAAAAAAAGCAACAAAACCTAATCAAAAAAACACAGAAAGCAACAAAAAAGGGAACAAAAAACAACCGAAAAAAGCGAAAAAAAAAATTTCAAAAAAGTTCGAAAATTTGATGATAAAAAACTTACCGACAAAAAAGATCACAAACAGAGGGATAAAAAACTCATAAAAAAAGTTAACAACATCAAAGCATGTGGCAAAAAGGAAAAAAAAGAAAAAAAAGGAGAAAAAAGAGGTTAAAACGGGTGAAAAAGGCGACAAGACACAAAAACAGACAAAAATCAAGAAAGAAAAGCGTTAAAAATGAGGCCAAAAAGTGAGGCAATAAAACGGTAAAAAAATGGAAAGAAAAGGGAGATGAAAAAGAGATAAAAACAGGGAAAAAACTTGAAAAGAAGGTGAGGGAGGTGGCAAAAAAAATCAAAAATAGAAAACTTCATAAATGTCGAAAAAAAGTAGTAACAAAATGGTAACAAAAAAGGAAAAAAACGATTAAAAAAACTACAAAAGAAGGAAAAAACGACAGAAAAAGGGGTCCAAATGAAGGCGAAGGATAATAAATAACAACAAAAAAGATCATAAAAAGGGGAACGAAAAAGTCATGAAAAACGAACAAAAAGGCATTAAAATAAATGACAAAAAAGTTAAAAAAGACGAAGAAGGTGAGAAAAAGTGATGAAAAGGGGTAAAAAAGACGACAAAACTACAAAAACTAACAAAAAAGGCGTTAGAAAGCAGGCCAAAAAATGAGACACAAAAAAACGACAAAAAACGAAACAAAAAAAGGGGGACAAAAATTCATTAAAAATGCCAAAAAAACATTAAAACACGTTACAAAAAGAGCAAAATAGGTCAAAAATCGATGGAGAAAAACTAACAAAAGAAAAGGACGAAAACTAGCATAAAAAGAGACACAAAAGCATTAAATAGGAGAGAAAGAACCAAAAAATGCGGTAATATGAGTAAAAAAATAGCGAATAAAAGGGAAAAAGGCCATAAAAAGAAGGCCAAGAAAAAACGAAAAAAAAATAAGAACAAATAAGCAACAAAAAAAGGCAAAAATAGGAAAAGATAAAAAAGAAGCGAAAAAGGAGTAAAAAAGGCGACGAGACGACAAAAACAGACAAAATTCAATAGAAAAGGCCTTAAAAAAGGCAATAAAAAGTTAAAAAAACCGAGATTAAAAGGGGATAAAAATAGGCAACAAGCATGAAAAAAAAGGTGGAGTGGGGAACAAAAAGATCAAAAAAGGGGACTTTAAAAATGTCTAAAAAAGTGGTAAAAAAGGGAGACAAAAAAAGGCGAAAAAAAAATTAAAAAAACAAATCACAAAAAGAGGATCAAAAACCTCATGAAAAAAAAAACAAACAGACATTGAAATAGATGTCAAAAAATCTAAAAAAAGACGAACACAGTGAGAAAAAGATATGAAAGGTGACAAGACGATAAAAAGCAACAAGAAAAGCGTTAAGAATAAGGCCAAAAAGTGGGATGAAAAAAGTATAAAAACAGGCCACGAACAAGCAAAAAAATGCAAAATAAAAGGGAAATGAAAAACCACACTAAAAAATGACAAATAAAAGCATTAAAACGGACAGAAAAAAAGAGGCTGAAAAGGCCAAGAAAAACTAAAAAGGGGGCAAGAAAAAAACACAAGAAAAGGCGACTAAAAACGACAAAAAAGACGATTAACTCAAATGTTTTGAGTTTAACTTTCTTTCGATGTTTTATTTTTCAGCCTGATAGGTAGGCAATCAAAAATACAACTCCAGTGATGATTTGCTACGTAACTCAAAAAACACCTAATTCTTTTTTCTGCCAAAATACAATAAAAATAATTTTCCAAAAAATACAAAAAAAGAAACATCTAATATCATAATTTGATAAAAAAACCTCTGGACCGATTTTTTTCAAAATTATCGATTCAAATGTAGCCACGTTATTTACGTGACAATACATAATTAATTAGTCCTCAGTGCTTCCTCGACGAGAGTGCAGATGATTTTTTTTCTAAAATCAATAGAATTATGTTTCTAACAAAACTGGAAAATAAATTTAATAAAGACTAAACATAGATTCTTCATAGGTCGCATAGCAACACAATCAGGAGAGAGAATCTACAGCTTAATACCGACGTCGGAAGGTCTGTTTTATCAAACGAGTAAGCCATTAGTAAGGAATTAGAATTATCCAACTTTACAATTTTTATTAGAAAAGCTTAAGATTTTAAAGAACTTTTACCAGAATAAATGCGTGTTTCTGCTCCTGATACACAAACAATTTTTTGGCTTAGATTTAACTTTTGCTCTTTTAGAGGCAAAATATTTTTACAACAATCAAACCCTCTGCC